AGTAGTTCCACAGTCGGTATGTTTCTCGTCACTTTAAACTTAACAATTTTTATAATACACTCTATAAATCACAGTGATTCACAATCTCAATAATTTCGCTCTCTACGAGTACAAAGCACACACTCTATGTTACCCGAAAAACCGTAACTACTGTTTGCTTAACTATACATTCAATCATCATCGTCCGCTGGCTTTTATCGCCAGGCTTATATACTAACAAAGAGGCTTCGACAAAATTCTAGGAGCTCCTTGATAATTTGAGAAACTCAGTCACGCATGCGCAAGCAGTGTCACGTGACTTCTGCTGTTGTAACAGTAGGAATCTTACCATATTTTGCTAGTGCTAATTAAACGATATGACTTTTTAATTTTTTCAAATTTTGTTTGATTTTGATTGTTAAGACTAAATATCCTGTAATAAAGATGTGACAAAGTTTATGACTCAGGTTTATCTTGAAAAGTTTCTGCTTATAATTCTATTATTTCATCAAAACTATTTAATTATATAAAAACCTGCTATAAGTTTTTCATCTTTTATTTTGGTGAAGATGTTTGCCTTGTAAGTGCACTCTTAATGGGAAGAATTTCTTCAGAACTGATGATGGCATTTGTTGTGGTGCTATTTTGATTAAGTTACTTTTGGCAGCATTTTTGTCATTGTGAACTTTTTACATAAAGATCCAGTAACTGTATGTTGTTATTTTGAATAATCAAATAACAGAGGAATATTTGTAACATCTGAACATTCAGTTAAGTTTTTGCATCATGCTTATGCAAAAAGTTGAGTTACACATGTGATATAACAGGGTGTAGGTTTGTGAAAGTAAGGGATTTGTGTTGTAATTTCTTTCAGTAAGAAGGTGTGTACATGGATCGAATGGATAAACTTCGCCTTCAGAAACTTCATTCTAGATTGCTACAGGATATTGGAGTGTCAGATGTTCTACCCATCTTGTTGCAAGATGGAGTGTTGTCATCGGAAGATTATGAAGACATCAAAAGTTGTTGCACCAGAACCAAACAAACAGAAACATTACTATTTTTGTTGCCAAAGCGAGGCAAAAGAGCCTATTCATGTTTTTGTCAAGCATTAGAAAACAGTTACCCCTGGCTGCTTACAGAGTTGAAGAACTTGCAGATAACGGAGGAAGAAGAAAAAAAACTAGCTGCAGACAAAATGTATCAGCGTAAGTTTTTGGTTCAATCAAACTCCTAACTTTTATTGAACATCAAGTCTGCTATTTTTTAATACTTTCAGGACTGTTTTGAAATTCTGTGTAAAATAAGTTGCTTTAAACTAGTTTTTAAGAAAAATAGTATAATTTAAAATTAAAACAGTATGTATTTTGAAAGTATATATCTGAAAAGAGATTGAGTTTTGAGATTAACTTTATAAAAACAAACAGTCTTCGTACACAATCTTAAGTAGAAAATTTTCATAATTCTAGATCTTAAACAATATGGATATAAAAGTATTATCAGTTATTCATTTCTTCAAAAATAGTTATAATAATTACTGAGACTATTGTTTGGCTTTCATATTATTTGAGATCAAATATTTATACCTTCAAATGAAAGTTTTATTTTACATGTTTAAATAATGAGCTTCAACTGCATGTTTGATAGTTGCACCACTGTGTTTTATTGTAAATAGTTATGATGTTTTAACAAAGAAAATTTTCAAGAGAGAAAAAAGAAAGAGATAAAAACCTTTAAATGAATCACAAAACTAAGAACCTAAACCTTAAAACTTTCATTGATCCACACAAACCACTTGCATTCCTCACTAGATTAAATGCTTGACTCTCCCAAGAATAAATTAGCCTTTTCTTTTTTAAGGTTATTATAAGTTATGCATGAAGCTGACAAAAGAAAAGTTTAAAAGTATTTTAATTTTTACCTCAAACCAGTACAGAAAATAAAAACTGGTCCCAGAATTTCCATAGATAAGAAAAGATAATATCTATTTTAGAAATGCAAACTGCTTTGCAATGCTTTTCTGCAATATAAATATTATTATTGTTTAATTTCTTTTGATGCTTAAATTTTTTTGTATGCAGTTAATTTTTTTTACTGTAATGGAACAGTTGTACATTATACATCCAAAAACAAAGTAGAACACTGAAATTATAAATGCTTAGCTAGCTTTTGTTTAGTAACCAACTTTAACTCAAAGTCGTACCTTCCAGTAAGGTTACAAACTATTGGTTCACTGTAGACTTCTTGGAATAATCACTATTCCTCACACAGTTTGAAAGTATAGATATTTATGTAAAGTATCTCATTCTGAAGACAAAGAGAGTGCTAAATGATTGGTTTTTTGTAATTTCACTTTATGCTGTAAAAAATTTATTTGCCATTATCTGAATGATTTCAGTTTTGCACATTTTCATAAATAGTACTTGCCTCAGATCCTCTTGATTTACAATTTCTTTTTAATTTTTGCAGCTTTAACAAATGAGATGGTTGATATGTTACGCCAGAATGTTCAGCTGGTGCGACGTTGGCATGTGTTGGCTCATAGTTTAGGGATGTCAGCTCAACGAACACAGATACAGGTACAAGCAAACCTTTACATGTGGGACATGGAACAATGTGTACTACAACTTTTGGAACAGTGGAAGAGCTTGAAAGGAAACTCTGCTACGCTTGGAACTTTATTGGAATCCCTTAGAAAAGAACAATTCAATGATATAGCTGGTAAGTATTAGTTTGTAACATTTGTCCCAAAAATTTTGTTATTATCTTCATCAATTCTTAGATTTAAATAATGTATTTCCAAGCTTTATTTAGCCAAAACTATATATCTGTAATATACTGATTTGAAATTTTTGGATAAACTTCTTTGGAGTTTCTGTAATTGGATTCTCATCATCATGTGTGTTGATTACCATGTATTTCTTTTACTTTAGAGCAGAATAGTTTTCTGAAGTTTGTCACACAACTTTATATAGCATGGTGCGATTTTTTAACCTTTTCACTGTGGCTGGGACATATATTGCTCACTGCACTGGGAAATATAATTCCCAGCTGCAGTGAATGGGTTAATTGAAATGTTTATGATTGTTTATTTATTTTTTTATCTCTCACTGTATTTATAATTAGTTGATTGAGTTCTCATTGTTTGCCAACTTTTGTGCCACTAGTAGACTGGGTTATAATTTTGTATGTTGAATGATTGAAGTTATCATCTTCCTTGAGTGGTACAGTGTTTTGTGAATTTTTTATCCTGCCCATTCTATTTTATGCAAAATTTTCAACTGTAGCTTCTAAAGTATTGTAATTTTTTCTGTTTTCAGAACATTGTGAGATTTAACACATATTTTTGGGACTTCTATTTTTTTCACATGAGCCAACATGGCTGTGTTATCTAGTCCCTTTTTAGTCATAGGGTTTGTGGTATGTGTAGGTAGTCAATTTCAGCTTTTATTTTATTTTTCAGTCACTGTTTGAATCTATGGTACTACAGACCAGTGTTTCCCAACCTGGTCAGTACTGCCCCCTAGTGGGCGTTTTTTAAATTCAGGTGGCAGTAAAGGCTGAGGGGGTGGACAAAAACATTTTGAGGGTTCCAAAATTATATTTGTTAAAAATAAACCATAAAAATAGGGGTTTTGTTTTAAACACATTTGAGCAAAAACACTGTTTGGGTATGTTCGTGGTAAGCAACACCAACCTAATGTTTCTTATCAATTTGTTGAGCATATCTCTTGGCACCACTTTCGGTACTTGTATTAAAAATTCATTAGAAGGGGGCATGAGTGCTCTTTGTTTGCTGTAGGGGGCACTGTGGCAAAAAATGTTGGGAAACTGCTATAGATGATTAATGATCTATCTGTTGGTAAGGGTGTTTCAGATTCCATGGTCTTCAATCTCACAGTATTGGAGTTCAGCCTAAATGTCTTTGTATTTTTCAGTTACATGTGTGCCAATCAATTTTTTTTTTTAAACTTATTGTTTGTCAACTGTTATAAAAAAGGATATAGTATATAGACATACTATGAAATTTCCGACTTTTTATTTTAATGTAGAAATTTTCAAAGTTTGTCATTTTACTTGAATCTGTACACTTTTTACATAAACATGTGGTTCAGAAAACCATTAAATTGATTTTATTATAGCTACCTTTGTTCCTTTCTTGTTTTCTTGGGATAGTATTTACTCTGCCTACAGGGATATTATTGTAAACATGCAATTATGCAAGAAGGTCTAAGAGAACAGTATCTTTCAACTCCCAAAGCAGATTTCTAGAGGTTATGTTTCCTCTATGTTGAATGAGAATAACCAGTCATGTGGTTAGTGCTTATTCGTATGGGTAAATCTGAAGTTTTCTGTCAACTAAGGAGCATTGGATTCACACAGTTCTACCAAGTTTCTAAATTAAGTTGGTTGACAGAAAGACTTCTTGAGGGAAGTAAATGTCTTAATTAATTCACAGATCCAGTAGAAGGTGATAGCCATGTCCTTTGCAAGTATGCATACTGTGTTTTATGTCTATTGATAATTCAAAAATTTTCATTTCTGAAACGATAAGCTTACCTCTGTGTACACAGTAGTTATTCCTTGGGCATCTGCCTTTGAGATTTTAGGCTTGCCACTAACATTTAGCTATATCCCACCTGTGACATGTTGTAATGTGAACTGAACTAGTGCATGATGTAATCATCATGTGACAATAGCCCTCCACTTGTAGGAAGATGACACATCTTCCACAAGCACTTGCACTTGAAATTAACTTTATTCATATCCTTGACACTGTCTTTAATGGACTTGTTTCTCTAAATTTACACTTAATAATTTTTATGAGATTTGCACAATGTTAACCGTCTTTGGTTTCTTTTTAGTTTGATTTAACTTCATGGCCACTAAATAGCTCCAAAAAAATTAATTTGAGGAAATGCTACAATGACCATGAATTCTCAAGTGACAGTGTCTACTGCCTCTTCTAGAAGATCTGAGGCTGCTAACACTACTTTTACTTTGCCTGTGACCACTTTCACTGTGGAAGGTGTTACTGCCATAGTTCACTGTGTTGTGTGTTCTTTGATGCCTTCTTGCCTCTTTACCTGTTGAGGACAATGTTCTTACTCCAAATCTCTTTTTGGACTTAATTACTCATGTTCGTTTTATACTTTCCCTTTTTCCTTTGAATCTTCTCATTTCTTACTACATGACTCTCATGCTGAGGATCATTTGATTTTTTCTTCTTTTCAAGTCATACAAGTCCATGTTGATTCTTGGAACAGCTTTGTTTCCACTTTCAAATGCCTTATCCTCCTTGACTCCAGGGTTACTTCAACAAGATTTATGGCTGTTCCTCTTTTCACTTCTTGGACTTCTAATCCGTTTAGTCCTTTCTATCCACTTGGGGGACTGATCCCCTGTCTTCAGTAGCACTTTCTAGTGCTCAATTTTCCCATCTTCACATTTTCCTTACCCATCTCCTGCTTATCCTCTCTTATCTAAAGTTCTACACTGTAATCCTGATAGTTTTTATGGGGGTCTATGGTCATTGTTTTTCAGTACCTTGGCCAGGGTTTTATTTTCTACCTTGTCCCTGCATATTTAGCTCCTCCATTGTTGAGACCTACAGAGATGTAATGCTCTTCACTCTACAGTTTGTCTTCCCCATTCTTACCTACATTTGGCATCTTTCCTTTACCAGAATGCTTTGAGACTCGGGCCAAGGCTTCCTAACACCAATTTTCCCTTTCTCCATGGTTTTTTGTCTCTCACAGCTTTGTGAGTCCACCCCAATTCCTCAACCCCATGAACCCTCCACTTCTCTTTTCCCATTTTTCATCCCTTTACAGCTTCTCATCACCTCTTTCCTGTAGGGTTGGCTATCTCACATCCCATCGGTGACTCCTGATCCTCTGTGTCTTGAGGCCATGTTATCAAATTGTTTGGACATGAGAACCGTCAAGTGTCATTTGCCCCTCTCCAGGGTTTTATTTTTGTCTATTCTAGAAGACTAAAAGCTGGTATGCTGTCATTGACCTTTCCTATTTCAACCACTATCTGGTGGTTCCTCAGTTTAATATCGAAGGGTTTCTTTCTCTCCATTGCTTGTGTTGCTGTTCTACTCTCTCTGTCTAACAATTGAAGAGCCATGTTTTATATCACTGGTCCATTCACTGCTTCTACCACCAGGATGTCCATCTTGTGGCCAACTTTATATGGTTGTTTGACCAAGAATTGTTGGTTTCTACCATTGAGGCTATTGGTAAGATTGTCAACTACCTTTCACCTTTTTTCCTGTGGTTATGCATTTTTCTCCCCTTTTCCTTATGATTTATTCTGATCCTTCCTAATTCATTATCCCCCTTGTCCTGTTCCTTTGCTTAACTGGCTCCTTGTTGTGGTTCTACACACACACACCTAGACTTACCATGCTTAGCTACCTCATCCTTCACCATCTCTCTCTTAAAATCTATTTCTCTCCTTTTGCTAGTAGCCATCACAAATCTGATCTTTATGAATTGGATGCCTCCCATACTTTGTTTCACCAATATACCTTGATTTTATTCACAGACTGCTCATTTCTTCCTAAGACTTGGGCTGCTTGGAAGGGAGATTATACATTTTCTCCCATATCTTTTCCATCATTCTTGGCCCTTTATGATTGTACAGACCCTGATTGCCTTTTGTGTCCAGTTCAGGTGGTCAGGCACAGCTCCATTTTGGGGTTCCCATGATTATTTATGCTTGTCATGGGACCCCTCTTCTTTGTTGGATCTTTCTTTCTCTGTGCTTAGCAGATTGATTTGTCAGCTCATCTGGATCATCAATTTCTCCCTGGGTATAGATGTTTGCAGGCTGTATCACATCTCATCACATCATATTCATAACTTGACTGAGTGTCTAGCCTTGCACTTTTAATGACCATTGGACAAGATCATCCAGGCTGGACATGGACTACTCCCTACACCTCTGTGGCCCATTATCTGGTGGTTTGTCTTATTCAGGATATTCCCTCCCTCCAGTTGCTTATTCTCCAATCTACTCATCATTTTTAATGGATGAGTGACTCTTTTATTTCCTTATTTATTTATATTGTACTCTCATTTGCTTCTCAGAATACTTACTTCCCCAGACCTGCACGAGTCAGGGGTAATGGAAAGCAGTAAATCCATTCACCCTGGCTCGTAAAGTTTACTGTGTTGAGATAGGGTTTTCCACAAAACCACTAAGATGGTATATAGATATATTTCATTGTATCTTTCATAGAATATCACATAAAAAAGCTAACACTGGAGTAGTGTCTGCCCACTTCCCTGGCTTATGCATCCCAGCTTTTGAAAGTATGCTTTGCAGTAATCCAATGCACTTTTTCCAGTGAAAGACCTTTTCAGAACTTGGGTTTAATCAGTTTTAAGCACCACTGGCATTTCCCCAACACAAATTCCCCTCCCAGTTGTTGAGTAGAGCATAGCACACCCTTGCCACTATCAGTTCCTAGCCAATGGGGTGGTCAATTTGGAGACTTCCTCAGTGTTTGTGTTTCTGTCTGGAAGAAGAGTCTGAGTGGGCAGTGCATGGTAAGAATTATGGCAGGGGTGTCCATGTCAGTGTAGTACAAGTCATCCCTATTACATAATATGCTAATTTTTTGGTTGTTTCACCAGTTGGATTGGGCAAAGTGGTCTGCTTACAAAACTTGAAGGGACTTCATTCCTGGCCCTGTATGTAATTTGAGTCAGTGGTGCAACAGAACAGATACCAAACCATACTGTCTAATCATTGCTCTAGTCAAACTAAACCTCATATCCAAATGACCTGTTGTGTGCAAATGCTCAATTGTTCATGTCTTCTTCTGCCCATCCCTGCAACACCAGGGCTCATTTTGCCATCCTCTTTTCATACATCCATCAAGGCATAGAGTATACTCTGCATAAAATCACCCCTTCAGTAAGCCCTCAAAATATAAGTGTGTCGCACTCTATGAGCTTTCCCCTTCAGTAACTTTCTCCAAAGAGAGTCCACATAGGTTTTTGTAATTGCAATGTGGGAATGTAGCTACTGTGTTTCATGAAGTAAGGTTATTGTTTTTTTGCAAGTTAACATCTATTTCTGATAGATACCTTTCTTTACACACACCCCCACTACCAGTGAACATTGCTCTTGCCTTGTCTAAGAATGAATTTTGTTTCAAGTGCAAATGCTTATGAGGATCTACTGCATATGAAGAGGGCTATTGTAGCATGATGATTACATCTTGCACTAGCACAGTTCATGTTATAACATGTCTCAGGTGGAAGATAGCTTATGGTTAGTGGAAAGCACAAGATCTTAAAGACAGACTTATCTCTCTGCTTGCAGAAAGGTAAGTATCCATCAGAAATACATTTTCAGGTAAGAAATATATTACCCTTTCTTTACACATCATGTTCAGCCATATTATTTTCCTTAACTTAAAACTCATTCAGTTTAGTCAAATTCAACCACATTGTGATTTATCCTGCTTGATCTTTCTGTTAGAAAGCAGACCTGCCTCTGATTTTGCAGACATTTGTTTAAACTTAGAATACTTCAAAGACATTAAGAAGCTAAGATATACTGAGTTTTGTCAGTTAATTTTTCATTATTTCACTTCTTTTTCTATAACAGCTTTCCAAGAAACAAATGTTTCTAAAAGTACAACACAACTGAATTAATGTGCTGTAGCCTCAAATATTAAGAGCCACTAGTTCTAGTTTACCATACCTTGCCTATTGCTGTTTCTTTATTTGTCATATATTTACTTGATGCAGTTCATGATTAAGTTTTCAGATTTTTTCCATTATTTCAGCCTTTATATATTTCATTAACTTTAAACCAAATCAAGCTATGAAGTTGCATATCCAAGTAATAAATTTCCAGTCTTGTATGATTTGTTCCTGAATGGCTTACAGTCAGTGCAAATTGAGTTGGCTGGCTACGTGGATTGTAATAATTCTTAACTCTATCTTGAGATTTTTTGATAACATGTTAAGTAAAACCTGCTCAATCTTCTTGATTTCATGTAAATGCTTGCATTTTTACCATATGAAAACTATCATTATATCTAGCTAAGAATGAAATATTTAACTTTTTCAATATTTTCCAGCTGATTTCTCACTTCCTACATTAAAAATGTGAAAGGAATTATTTGTGCATATTCTTTTGATAAGAAATCTTTCCTTTGTATGTGTTTTATTTTTTCCTCCTGTAGTTTATTTATTCTCTTGTTTTGATTGTGTTGTCTTCCATTTTTTGTTGAACAGATAGATTTAAATTTATTGTTAATGTGCCACTCTGTCTACTTCTTGTGTAAGCTCCATTTTTATGGATTTCCCTAAACCAGCTTGGAGTTTGTCCCATATTCTCTATTTTATGAGGATCCTCAGTTTTTTTAATATTTTAGGGTGTGTATCAATGTGACAGTTGAGCTTATAATTGTTTTTTCATCTGCCAGATTGAATTGGCCTTACCCACTAATTTACTTTATTTTGGATCTCTATCTAGTAATATCATTTTAATATTTCTCTAACATTAATGTAACCAGTTTTGTATCTTAAATTTTATGTGATAGTACTAAAGTTGTGAAATTATATAAAAATCCAACCAATACTAGAGATGGTAATTATGCTATCCACTGAAACAGTTGTTTTTAATCGATATATTCCAACTGTTTTCAAAGAACCCAATCATGAGACTATGTATTTTCTCCAAGTCTTGTATTTTTTTTAACAGTGTATCACTCCTTTAGCTTTAAAATATGGTATGTTGCAAAAGTTTTTATCTGGTTGTGTATCAGTGGATTATAGAGCTTGGTATGAAAGCTTGAAAGACATAATTTAATAGTGTTATTTTGAATCTATTTGTATCAAAAACATTGTGAATAACTTCATGACAAAATTTGCAATATGATAGATTTTGACAGTAACAGAAACGTTTTGTGAGAAGAAAAAATGCTTTGATTACAAGTAAATCCAATAAAATAAATGATAACATTTTGGAAAATACAGGTATGATACTAATTGATTTGCAAAATAAATAGATTAACTCATGTATTTATTTCCTGAAAGGTTACAGTTAATAACAAATCATTTTTTTTTTTTTTTAATTATGACATTTACATTAATGTTTGTTTTATTTATATAAAAGTTTTGTCTTGTTTTTCTATGTATTGATGAGTATTCCTCCCCAATCTTTTCATTACAGATAAACTGGAAGAAGAATTTCTTCAATAAAAGGCCCTCTCCATGTATATGATGATTGATATGATTAAGAGAAGGTTTTATCAGTATTTTGAAAGTTAATAGTGTAATTGTACATATACTATGGTTATTTTTTACTATTTGTATAATATGATATTTTTTATGAATATTCATACTGTTTTTTGTTTTGTTGTCTGTTTATTTGTATTTTTAATTGTGAAAAAATGTAGCATAGACCGTAAACAAGTTAAAACTATGAAGAAAAATAATTTCAGCATAAAATTTTGTATGAAAAAGAACATTCATAGATCAAGAGATCATTACATAACTACCAAACTCTACATTATCTTATTTATAAGATATGAAAAAATCTTATCAAGATTATATATAAAGCCTTGACTCAGTAAACAATTTGACAATGTTCACCTTTTATGTTTTGCTGTAGTATTCATTATAAAGTTTTACATATAGTACTGGATAATAGTTAGAAATCCAGAACTTCCATTAACTTCATTATTTGTGAAGTTGTAGGCAAATTTGACTAAACCAATGATCTGCTAGTTTTATTGTTAATCTGCTATTTCATTTTTTTTTAATCGGTGGAATGAGAAAAAACTAAGTTCAGCTTTGTGTAGGTGCCACTACCTAGCAGCTCCATTCTTAACACATTTATATACTTTGTTGATTTTAATTTATGGTATTTAACCATCTTAAAAGTAACTGGAAATACTTTATTATTAATTTTACTGATCCTTATGGAATTATATGCCAAGTTTCCTTAACTCCTTAAACCAGAGTGGATGCTTCTAGCATCCAGACAAAAATCCTGATTTGTCCATTGGATGGTAAAAGTGTCCGATAACATTTATGTTTCATAGGCTGAAAACCATGTTGCTATCCACCTTTTATAATAAACCAGAAATTTTATAAGTTAACATGATAATTATTAAGACATAATGAAAGTAATTCCGGCAGAATGAGCAAAAAATTATGGGTTTAAGGAGTTAAAATGTGTAGTTTAATATTTTTTTCTTGCTAACTGAATTAATTTAAAAAATAATTCTATGAGAATACACTAGAATTATTACTTATCACAGTTTTACTTCATGAATTCATTATTTACATTACCTATTTAATTCATCAATAAAGTTCTGTCTTTTATTTCATAAAAACCATTACAGAAGTTTGCAATTTGTAACATGAATTAAGTCTTCTTGGGATTTTGTTTTGGTGGCACATTTCTGTAACTGAAAGCTTTACAAAATACTTTTTGGTCTGAAAAATCATACTAAACACTCCTAAGAAATTGTTTTCCATCTAAAAAAACATTTATATATTTATAAAAGGTGTTTTTCCCTTTAAAATGTTAGGTTTCAAAGTTAGTATGTTGGTGAATTAATGTTGATACAAGCTATCTGTGATGTCATATCACAGAAATATAATAATAAGAGTGCAGTTAACTTAAACCATTGTGGTATACCCCTGCACAGATGTTCTGCAGAGCAAAAGTAGGGGACACTAACTGGAGTTCCAGAATATCAGAATATGAATCAGTTTGTCTGTGAACTCCGACTAAATATGTTTTAAAGAAGGAATTAAGACACAAAAATCTAAAACTACAACCTTTATTTAAACAAAACAAGGATAAGTGTTCATTGTAGGGGGTGTTGGACTGAAGAGAGAAAAAAAGGGTAAAGAAAAGTCTTGGTAAATCCTTTCTCACCAGTCTAATGCGTGCCCACTCCTGGAAGTTAAACTAAAATAAAGCCACAAATATTATATTCAGAGTTCAGCTCATAATGTAACCAAAATTTCAATTTCTGCAAAAAGCAAGATATTGGAAAAATCTACCTAGTAGGGGAGAATTAAGCTTTTAATACTGTAAAACACAATGAAATTAACAAGGCCTGGCTTGCATATGACCACACCTCAATCACCTGATTTCCTTACAGTGTGGTCAAAGCACAAGGATGAGGTAGTCCAGGCTATTAACCAATTTGCTGACAGGAAAGCCAGCCTTCTACTTTACAAGCTATCTTTCCTGTAAGAAGATGCTGTTAATTACAAATTAGCAAATCTAGATTCTGAGCATACCTAGAATTAGGGAAAATTTAATGTCTTTACTTAAACAAATTTATGTGTCCAAACTGAACTGAAAGAAATTTCAAAACATTTACATATTAACTAAGGGGTAGCAAACACATGGTACCATCCTATACCACACAATGCTCTCAAATCTTAGTTGAAAGGTGTATAATGTTATTCTTAAGTGCTAATGCTGTGATAATTGACAATTCAGTAATTGCTGTACACTATCATACTAATTGATTATTAACAGGCCCCCTCACAAGCCAGTGGGGACATTTTTATTGGCTAAAAAGAAGGCATTTCCCACAATCTTTTAGCATTGGGGCTGTGAAAAGTGATCTGAAATGATAAGGTGACTGAAATCTGATGTTCATAGACCCTTGAAAAAAGTGCAAGCCAAAACATGAGCTCAAATAAATACATTTATCTGAAATTGTTTATCATCTTCATTAAAAACACCTACAACACAATTTACTATTGGATTGCTAAAATATAGGAAGCTCCATTACCAATTTGAGTCACACCATGATTTTTATACAAAAAAATAAAATTAATTATATTAATATAAATAAACAACAATGAAATCATCTTCTCACGAAAATTTCTTATTTTCATCATAATTTACAGTTACATCAAGATACCTTTAAAAATACACTTTTAAATAATTAGTTACTACAAATGATCATATAGGGATCTTGATCTTAAGAATATGGAAAGCATTTCCAGTCCCAAGGAAAATTGTTGAGTCCCTGTGAAATAAAAGAGTTGATATTGTTATACAGTTATACTTATATTAAATTTTGGATGTTTTGTATCATTATATAAATTGGGTATTTGAAATCAGTACTGCTTGAGTTTGTTCTTTTTTTTCATGTAGGGTATTTGTGTTATCATTAAGTTAGCTTCATGATTTAATTTTAGCCTAATACTTTTACAAACAATATGCAGCCTAGGATACACTAATCTCCTTTCAATATTAAAGTAAAAATTGTGATAATTTAGCCATTCTTCTAGTAGCATTCTTCACGAGTTTATAAATGTTATGCTTCCACTGTCATTGATGATTGGTCTTACATAGTTTGTATTCTCATTATACTATTGTTTAGTAATGTATTGTGTTGATTCATTTGCCGATATAGTAATACCACATTCGACAAGAAACGCGTCGGCCAATTCACCACTATCTACAACTTTTGCCCGTTGTTCTAACAACGTTAAAACGACTTAACGAACTCTTGAGAAGATTTCCAAGAAAGTAAACCTACAGACATTGGTCTTATTTAACAAAATCTGCCTACAAGAAAATCTGTCACTAAAGTACACTAACATTCGATTACATGACCCGACAGCAAAAGATGATAAGATAACCTTGGAGTTTCAGCAGAAACTTGTCAAAAGGCAAATATCAGAAAAGTTGGCGGTGGGTGGTGATGATATAGTAATACCACATTCGACAAGAAACGCGTCGGCCAATTCACCACTATCTACAACTTTTGCCCGTTGTTCTAACAACGTTAAAACGGCATATCGAACTCTTGAGAAGATTTCCAAGAAGAAAGTAAACCTACAGACATTGGTCTTATTTAACAAAATCAGCCTACAAGAAAATCTGTCACCAAAGTACACCAATATATACATCTATACATATACAAATATATTTTACATATACACACACACATACATGCATGCATATACATACACCTATGCATATACATACATACACAGATATACATATACGCACATACATACATATACATGTAAAAACCGTATAGCTAAGCAGTTATTAATATGCTACAATTAAAGACCAGAAAGGCCTGTCATGTTTATTATTTAGTTGTATTTCCCAAACTAGGAGAATTTGCTCTTTCTGTAGTGAAGACTGAACTAAAATGATTATTCAAAGCTTCGACTATCTCACTATTATTTTCAAGTATCCTGTCGTCTATTTTTAAAGGTCCTATCCTGTCTTTCATTTTGTTGTTTGCTTTGTAATACTGTTACCCTCTGTGTTCGTTTGTTAATTTTCCGTATAATTTCTTTCCGATGAAACTAGTGATACAGTCCTTTCGTAAATAAAACTAGTTTATTCTTTCTCAATACAATTTCCACGGTCACGCTATAAGTTAAACAAACGCTATAATTCACAACGAACGACTCACGCGCTCGACCCAACTGTCCGCCTCTATCTCTGTCTGCAATTCAACTACATTCCTGCCGTCACTTCTTGGCGGCTTATATATACAAGCATACCGCAAATCTAGTAAACACTCGAGGATTCACGAACCTTCGAGAATATGACGTGTTACTAGCGTCACGTGACCCCCGCTGTCGTAACAATACTTAAAGAATTCTTTTGGATTTTATTTTTGTTCATCGCTAATCTAATTTGTCTTTCCATTTTACTTTTCCGTATCATCCTATCTAACTCATTCCTAACAATTTTATAAGCAATTCCACCCTCTTCCCTTTTAGTCTGTCTATATATATTTTTAAATTTTTTCTTTTTACTATTAATTAACCTGCTTATATTTCTATTCCACCATAAGGGCTTACTTTCTTTATTTTACGAATAGATGTGTACGGAATACACGCTCTCTGAATTTTATCTAAC